GTTATAGAAATCTGCTATATTCTGTGTAAGAGTGTTATCACATCACAAGCTCATATCCGCCAATGGAAACTCTGAATTTGAAACCAGCACCGGTATTTATTAAACAAATCTGTATGGAATGTATGCAGATCGATGATAGTATTTTATAGTAGTATGATAAAAAAAGCAAGATGGCCACCAGACGGCCATCTTTGATCTGATTATGAAACAAACTGACAATGTATGTAAACCAATATGAATGATGCATGTGCCAAATATAAATGAAAATGATCCAAAAGCCTTGGAGGTATAGAAGTATGGACAAAAAGCAAGCTGGCTGTCATTCGGCCATCTTTGATCTGATTATGAAACAATTTGACATGGACATGTATTCCAATATGTATAATGTTTGTGTCAAACGAAAACCGACAAATTCTGTCCAAGATACCACGTTTTCCAAAAAAAAAATAAGATGGATGCCAGTCGGCCATCTTTGATCCGATCACGAAACGAATTGTCATAGTCATGTATTCTAACATGTATAATATATGTACCAAATTTGAACAACAACTGACAAATGTATAAGATACCACATTTGCCAAAAACAAAATGGCTACAAGTCAGCCATTTTTAATTTAATCAGTAAACCACTGCATGTGCATATGTCCCAGATAATTTACAAGGCACCTTTGGTTTGGTTAACTGGGTAATGAAATATGGCGGAGTGGTGGAGACTGAATTATAAGTCCCCGTTTCGAACTTAGGAATGCTGTGAAAATCGACTGTCTTGTTCTAAAAAATACATTTTACAAATACGAATACGAATATACATTATATTCATGGTGTATTGCCTTGACAGCTTAAACAATTAAATAAGTACTTTGAACTTACCTTGGCACGGTCTGAATCTTGTGCCTCTGTTCCTTTCGCAACATACGGTAAAACAAACCCTTTGTTGTCATGTTCTGTTGGTCCCAAATTGGGTCGTGTAGGCTGTAAAATGACAGGATAATATATACTATAAACTTAAAGCTGCGTATAGAAACAATGTTGTCAAGTGTATGTATGGATATCAATCAATCAAATGTAGTAATCTAGTAATAATATCAATAATAATATATACTACGCATACGAACATAATAATTGAAAAACCTTCAGTGGAAGGATGTTATTGCATTTGGTACCAACCTTTTCAAACCTTGGTGCATGTTCCATGACCTTTGCAAGGTGTTTCAGTTGTTCTTCCGGTTGGGAATCCGATGAAATATCACTAAGAGTGTCGTCATCACCGTATCGCCACATGTTACGTTGTCCTTGTTCCTTCACACGATTAAAAAAATCAGAAACCAAACCTGATTTTGCATCTTGCTTCTTGCGTACAAGACAGCAAAATATGACCGAGATCACCAAGGCAATAGTGATTATAGTTGCCGTTGTACCAATTGAAATTACCAAAACCCGGTCCAAATCATTCGTCGTGAACACTGTGTAAGAGAGATAATTGAATTTTGGGTCCGTTGTTTATTACATCATTTAAATTTAATGAACATGAAATTCAAATAATATCAAATAGATAGTATGATTAGAATAAGAAGAAAGCAGCATTGAATATATATATATATTGAGCAATAATATATTATTTCATGAAGTACTAACTTGTCGACTTTTCACATATATCTCCTACGTAACCCGTTGGACACCTGTTAAAATAAAATGACGACAGGAATGTATACATTATGTAATATTATAATGTATTTACACATAAGAGACTACGATGGCAGTGCATGCATTGCACATGCAAATACAAACTAACATTACATTAACGGCATGTCTGCCATGAAATGGTTTAACTATGAAACAAAGTACATTTCATTGATTTACTTACTCGCATTTACGTTCTGCGATATTGTCTCCAACACAAGTTCCTCCATTGATGCAGTACGTATTAGGACATATCTCTGCAAGGACGTTCATGTAGAGACATAACATGAGGTAAAATACTTGATATATGGTATATTTTTCTTGTCCCCAATGTAGCAAACATATATAAATATGTTGTGATCTTATAAATATTTTAGTGATCATATCGAATTTTATACGACGTATAATCAAATACATACCATGCAATTTCATATTTATTATCAACGTTTACTGGTACATTTATTGAGTTTCATTACAACAAGTGATAAGACATGATATTTGTGAATGCTCACACTTAAAACAATTGTATGAAACTGTGCATGTTTGTGAAATGATCAAACGATCGTTCATTGTTGTTCTTATTGTTTACCTGTACAAATCCTTCCTGGCCTTTCAGGAGATTCGTCTTCATATCCACTATTACAATCACAATAGAATCTGTCTACTACATCTATACAAGTGGCATCAACACTACAGTCATGTGTGACATCACTGTCACATGCTTTTGGAGTATATTCTGGAAGAAACATTATCACTGACATTACAATAATCAACTACACAATCAAATGATTCTTAAACACACCATATTGTCCTTCAGACAATGTGACAACTAGGTAGTCAATCAGATTATCCATTTCTTTCATCGTGAAATCATTACAAATAACAACTATACACATTATACCTTGCATGAGAAGAGTGCTATCTTTAAACACCACCTTGGTACTAGATGTGACATCAATCATCTCATTATAATTGGCGAGAACGTCTTCCAAATCTGACACATTTATATCTGTATCTTTTTTAAAATATAATATATATTCTATATTAACACTGCCACGGCTTAGCTTTTGTACATGGCAGCCTAGATAATCAGTTCTTGTCTTAGTAGTGTCAGTGTGAGCAATTCTCATCTATAAAGGGAATGCAGAAAAACAAGTTTAATAGCATTTGAACTGATATATGAAGTGACATGTATTAAGCTATATTTGCATATTGTAAACTTTTTTTCAGAAACACTACTGCCACATACCTTCCATACAAACACCAACCCTCCCACACAACCAACGACCACCAACACTAGCATCACCAGGGTTAATATCATCAGTACCACCATTGCCGTATTATTTGTGATGTGATGCTTTCAGGAATCCATACAACACAACATTTGTTTGATGAATTATACAACTTTATTGTGGCATTTTCCAATATGTCCGATATGGCAGAGACTTGCAATGCATACATATACTTAAATTACACTTAAATACATATACACACATATACTTAAATTACATATTGACTTAAGTTACACACTTTATGAGAAAATGAAATATAAAACAGTTCATTACTGGTTATGTTGAAAAATAAACGCCAATGGCTGTGTATAGGTTATGATTGATTGAGTATATGAGATAGAAAAGTTATTAATTGTATGACAAGTGTTAACCCAGCGCACATGCACTGTTATATATAAGTGAATATTGTAGGAAAAATCAAGCTTTAACAGATCATCTTATGTTATTAGCAGCGAACTCACCGCCTCAGTAAATCGTCTTGTTATTTCCTTATAACCTGCAGATGACGTGTCGTCATACTCATCTCGGTAAGCTTCAATGACTTTCATGTCAGATTTGAATGTTTTGGAATCTGAAAACGCAAAAAAAATATATTTATATTTGCTCATTGATGATGAACACACCAAACATTAGTGCGACTTCAACTATACAATAAGGAAAGTGATGTATTCATCTAGCACGCATCTCGATCTCGCGATAAACTTTAAATATATTAAAATTATGTGCGTCAATAATTTTGTTAAAAGCGTTGATAGTAATAGCCTAATTATAATGTAGAAACCCAATATGGAAGTTAATGTCATAATGACATTTTTAAGAATTTATTGTAATTGAGTGTGGTGTATATTGTACACCAACAACAACAAAAAATGATGAAGTTCTCCATACTGTTAATTAACGACACCCAACAAATTTAGATTCAATGATCTGACCTCCATATTTACAAAATCAAGCTATCGTAATTTTCTGTTATGAATTTCGATAAAAAAATCGCAAGCAACCGAATTAAATTGAAAGCAAGGTTAGCCATAATTAATTCCAGCACTGTTCCTTTAGAATAGTAAAAGAATCGAGCAGTTCTAGAATATATTTGTCAATAAATATATTTAAATTGTTAAACACCGAGTTAAAAATTATCAAAAATATGACATAAGAATATCGAAGAAATCCTGTGAAAAAGGAAAAAAACAACAGATGGAATTTATAAAAATAAACATTAATAAAAATAAACGTTTAAAAATAAGTTTCTAAGCGATTAGCTAAATATTATTATCAGGGCCCTAAATACGTATTTAAATAGGTATTCAATCCACACAGTCTAAAGAGCGGTGATCGTCGCATCACGCATGCGCGAGATATGGGACTCATAAGCAAAGATGGCGATTTTGACTGAGACACACAACGAGTACAAACTGAGAGGTTACCAGATATTGTTGATGATTAGAAAGTATTGAAAAAATCGGAAAGTCAACGTTTATCAACACAATTGTTGCACGTGCGCGGCGCGACGACTACCGTACTTTAACAGGATATCGTTAGAAAGATGTATTCAATCAATGTCATAAATAGATTTACATGTTTCCGAGTTAAAGATTGCCTCAGCTGAACTATGTACATTCTAAACGTTTACCCTGGTTTATATAAGAACTGCATGTCAAATACGTTTTAAGCGAATACAGATAGTTAAATAACATATCAAAATAAGCAAACTAACAAAGATTTTTAACAATCTTACTTTCACATTTTCCACTTGTATTGAATGTTCCAGGAAGACATGTGCATTTATAACTGCCTGCAGTGTTTATACATTGATACTCTGAATCACATGGTTCATCTATACACTCGTCAATGTCTGAAATACAATCATGTTCATTATATGAAATGTAACATTGATATAAATTTCTAATTTACGATGACACTGAAGGATTAGATTATATATTTTTCAATAATTTGTAATTTGTAATTTATTCATTTAGAACAGTACATCCATAAATGGTTTTTCATGCACAGCATATAGATATAAAAATTAACATAGAATTAAACAAACCACTGCAAAAATGACAGAGAACACACTAAAGAAAAGCATAAATAGGGTATAAAATAAAATGACTACGAAATAATATGATAAAATTACAATTACGAAGGTAGGCTACATGGTATATTGTTTGTATTTATGTGACTAATGATTGAGGGTGAATATAAATTACAATTCAGTGCATACTCACCTATACATTTCCCTGATGAAGCAGCCACACTATAACCAGGTGCACATTCACAGTCATAAACATTGTTTCCAGTGAAAACACAGACTTCACCTTTTACGCAAGTATCGGTGGCGTCCAAACAGTGGTTGATGACTATGAAGCCGAGACACAAATATTAACAATCATACATGCTATAAAAATATATGCCGTTTAAAGAATTTATACAATAGCATTTTATTCTATTGATGTCTGTGAAACATATTTTCTTTCATAATCGTGTATGTACATTGCATGGAATTCATCAATCGATTAGTTTCTGTATTTCACAGATTAATACATACATTTATATGACTGTCAACATATAACGCATCGTGGCGGACAATGCACTATTTACTTGAGATTAGTTGGGTGATTACTCAATATTATCCATAATTGATATCTAAAACTTACTGATATCATCACTTTTAAACGAGTTTTGACGTATATAAGTTGAAATCCCAACCAGTGTTCCATCCTCTGCTAGACCAACAGTAAAAGCCGATAGCAGATCATCAGATGTTATTGAGGATGCGCTTTTCGTGTTAACAAGACATCGTACCAATGTTCCACCATCTGTATCTTCATATACAACTACTATTGTGCTCAAATAATCAGAGGATATTTCTGAATTTGAAAACAGTGTTGCCATCTGAAAGAGACATGCACTGTATTAAGAAAACATACTAGGTCCGTACAATTTGCTTTCGACTAATAATTCACGTCACAACATAGAACACTGTTGATATCAACTCTTGCATGTCACATTGTAAATGAGGGTCAGAATATAAATATTATCTGTTGAACAAAGGACACATAATACTTACATCATCTTCTATTGTGGTCGTTATAATAGTATACAGTTCAGAACTTGTTGAAATCAGGTCATCATTGAAATCTACAATATTGATGTCTCCGACTGATGTAAGTATCATGGACACATTAAACGCTTTGGATTCTATGAATGACAAACATTTAAACGTGTCAATTGCGATAGATTAAACATTTCTGTATTTTGCTGTTTTTGAATCATAAGTAAGCCATGCTATCAACGTGCGTCAAGTTTATTTTGTTTCAAGTGATTCAAGAGCCATTCTTACTTTTGCATTTGTCATCCTCCTTGTAGTATCCTGGTTTACACTGACATTGGTAGCTACCAGGGTTGTTGACACATCGTTCATTCTCATCACATGGTTTATTTAAACACTCATTAATATCTAGGAAATATACATGGAGCACATTATAATAATTTAATTGCACGTACAAATTATGATACTAGTTTAGAACCTCCTTCCTACCCTGCTTCACATTATTCGTCTTAATGCAAAACGGTGGCAGTTGTGATACGTGTATCATTCCCATTCTAAAAATGTCACCACTAGGATCTCAACCTGATATTGTTCATCGAAATGTTTCTTCCATCTTTGTGTCCATTGTCTTTAACGCAGTGGACGCAATGACGTGAGATAAATAGCACAACACTACAATAATAACTCTTCGTTTTCGACATTTGTTTTTCTCGTTTCATGAAGAAATTTACAGTATTTGGAAAGTAAAATCATACTTATTAAAGTCACTGTTTATACATGAGTTGTTAAACACACATATTATAATTTCAATATTGAAGATGTCATCACGAAATAAAAAAAAAAATCTGAGAGAGGTCTACCTGAAGTACCTATATGTATAATATCGAATCAAACGGACTTCAGGTTTTTCAATACCAAAAAATATACACTAAATCGGAGAATAAAAGATATCATTTATCACAAAAAGAACAAATCTAAAAGAGATCTACCCAAGGTATTTATACACCCAGTATCAAAACAATAAGGCTAGTAGTTTTCAAGAAGAAGTCCAAAAAGTGAAAGTCAACACCAGAGCTAAAAATATTAAGAATATGACAAATTATGTTTTGTTTTTAATATTCATGTGTAATCGATGAAAAATAAATATTATTAGGGTGCATCAGTAAACTTACTATATTTCTGTTTTCAAAAAAAAAAAACGAAAACAAAACAAAACACAATTTCGAAAAACAGAACGTCTTTATTTTCTTTATTTGTCTTGGAACGCCATTTAAAAATGCGAATAAACGCTTTCTCACTAGTACATAAAACTATATACCACTTAATGAAGTCCAAATATTACATTAATATCATAACTAATACTTACCTTGGCAAGATAAGGGGTCATCAATTGAATAACCATCATTGCAATCACATATATACGATCCTGGTGTGTTCTGACATTCACTGTTGACATCACAGCTGTCTCTTTCTAACACACACTCATTGACGTCATTACAGGTGTTGTGTTCATCTTCTTCATAACCAGCAATACACTCACAGTAATAAGAACCGATAGTATTCACACAATCAGCCATTGCGTCACAGCTTACATTATTACATTCATTTATATCTAGAATGAATAAAAAACAAAAACATTTAAACATATATCACATATAAATATTTTCCGAAATAGGTCTATTAATATCTTTATTGTAGAAGACCATAGAGCCCATTTTAAAATTACAATAAATTCACACACTTAATGCTTTGTAAATTAGTTTTTACCATTACTGTTATTCCAAGATCAATATTTAAAAATAAATTATTCCAAAATAACTTGGGAGTAGTTGTTAATTTTGCAACCAATAATAACCTAATTCAGATTTTATGAAAGAAATAATTATTTCCCAAAACGTTTGGTCATCTGGAATCTGAAAAAATCCAGTTATTGGATAACGAGAATGTGTAGATCATGAACATGCATCAAAGAAGACACGTGCTACTCTTCATTAATTTCAATATTCAACGTTCAAATTTTGAGAGAAATTATATTGTGTGCCTGTATCCTGTATGTATGTATACATAGAGTAACAAATAACGTGTAAGTTCAAATAAAAATTAACAAAACGTGATACATACCATTGCAGTCATTACCATCTATTTCAAAACCGGTATCACAAGTACACGTATAGTTGCCAACAGTGTTGCTACATTCTGAATGAGCTGGACATGGGTCATCAATGCATTCATTAATGTCTACAAAATTAACCAACAGAATATGTGATTTGAATAAATAGCAATTTACAAATACATTCGTGTTATTCACGGAATCTTTATGACAGCTGCGCCTACTTGGTTTCAAATACATATAGTTGTAATTTATCTAAAAATATAGCAGAATTGTTCATCACATGATTAATGTGCATATTATTTATGCAGTGACGCTTATTTTGTAATGTCATAACTGATATTTCACTCTAAATGTGGCGATACGAACTCTAAATATCATGCAATGGTAACGTATTTATTGCTGTGATATTATTATTTAGGTCCGAATAACTACAATTATTCGCATGGTAAAATAGCTCATAATAATAACGACTGAAAAATGGAAATGTCTATCAGTGCACGGCAATCACTTATTTACTATAAACACACTTTATCTAGCCCATATTAACCAATAACTACGAATAAGTAATATCGGATTACTCTAATATTATAGTGAAATCTTACCTGTACATATTACACCATTACCGCTAAATCCAGCGTTACAATCACATTCATACTGACCAATGGTATTTGTACACGTGGCATTCACGTGACACATGGAAGTGTTACTCTGACATTCATCAACATCTACAAAATGCAAATAGTTTTGTGTATCCGTTAGAAAATATCACCACAACAAACCCAATAATATAGTATACCATTCGGTGTTGATATGTATCTCGTATACCAAGATTCTTGGGAATTTATAATAATGCATCAAGTTTATTCGGTTATTCAGTTTACCTTCACATATTCCACTGTCAGAACCATAGCCAGGAATACAAACACATTTGAAACCTCCATCAGTATTAATACACTCTTCTAGTGCTGTACAGTTGTGCATTCTACCAATACACTCGTCAATATCTATTGTATAGAAAATATTGATTGTATCACAACATGCATTTAAATATTCTGTGAACTAGAACATAAGCTCTCTTACTCATCATAGTTAAATATCTATTTTCGGATGATATAACTTGTATTAAATACGTCTTAAATACAAAAAACACACAACAACTGAAAATAGTTCTCAAACGAAACATTATTACATAGTCAACAGCTGCAATCAGAGTAGGTATAGTGGACGTGGCTATTTTCAGCTCATTTGCTATGATATTAGATCATTACTTATTCAAAATGGCCGAATATTGATAAATCCATTTCACTCATACTGTTTTATATCACAAAATTAATAAATAAACACTTAGTACAAAAAGAGCCAGCTAACAAGTATATATAAAGTGTAATCACTTAGTTAATGTTGTGACCTAAAATGAATGTCAGTGCTGAGAAACCTACTAGGTAATATTCAGTACTTTCAGTCAGTCAAAAAACACATTAAACCATTGAGATCATCCTGTAAACATGCAAATTTTGAGGATAGTCGTTCACCAGAAAAGCAATGATTTAATATGTCGCTTAATATGTTTAATAATTCACCTGAGCATGATCTGTCGTCAACATCTAATGTATATCCTTCACGACACGAACAACGATATCCAGGTGTCTCGTCGTGGCAGTTATGATAACACATATCTGTACCACGATCACATTCATCAATTTCTGAATCAAGAACAAAAGACAGTTGAAGTAAGACAATTCGAATAATATGTATGTTTGACGACATCGTATCAGATATTTTCTGGTAAATAACAAATAATTACATAATAAACAAGTAACCTGTAGAATGCTGTGTGGGTAATATTTTTATATTGATTTTTGTTGCATTTGCAGCAAATAGTTACCAAACAATGAGAAATCTATTGGATTGGATTTACCTCTCAGCTGGCTTCAAATACATAGTTCAAGCCTGCCTAACCGGTACTTATACCTGGATTTAGCTACAGAACATAGACGGTCTGTGGTTACAGCTTCATGTTCCGAGTAATCGCAAGAAATTGACATTACAATAGAAAAATAAAAGACTGGCACTCCAATGCAATTAAATGCAATTAATCCTCGGATTGAAACGTAGACTTTGAAGTCAATGGTGTAAGCAATGAATAATTTCAAGTTGGCATAGAGAAGAGATAGTTTATTTAACCAGTGCTGAACTAGAGGCTGAAATTATAATTAAGTTCGTTGTCATATAATTTGTTTATTTCAATTTCTCCTGAGAAGTCAAATAGAATACATCGGTGAATGGATGTTTTGGGTGTGTAGTTTACACTGTGTATGGAATGGTAGGGTTGGGTGTCAATATAATTTGTTCATTTCCAACTCTCATGAAGTCACATAGAATTTCACTTAATTATTTTCGTTTTCAAGCATCACGTGTGAATCCAATTTTCACTGTGCAGTGTCAAGTCTCAATGGGGTATGTAGGAAATGGCATTTTCACTGAAATATATTTTAGCGGAAACATGTTTACAGTGAAAATGAAGTATTTCACATTATATGTACTGCAGTTTATTTTGATTCGTCCCTGAAATCAAAATCGGCATTTCCACACCACATATGCAAATGAGGTCTTGGAGCAAACAAATTAGTCCTTTCAAGAGTAGCGTTTTTCGAAACATGGCAGAAATAAACTATATTTAGAAGTACGATATTTTACGCTTGGGTACATG